TTAGTATAGCTATGTTGATTGATTTTTGTAGTCTACTCTTCTTCAATGTCTTTTGAAGGAATTACCAGCTTTACAAGGATCAGTTGTAGTCAATGGCTCTATAGGTTATGCTAGTCAAGAGGCATGGGTATTCTCAGCTACAGTGAGAGACAACATATTATTCGGTCTACCATACAATGTGGAAAGATACAATTCTGTCATAGAAGCCTGTGCTCTTACAAAAGTATGATTGATGTAATTCAGCAGTAAATAGTTATGCATCAATCTATGAAACAAATAGGACCTTGATCTTTTACCTGAAGGTGACTTAACACTAGTAGGAGAAAGAGGAGTGACTCTCAGTGGAGGGCAAAGAGCTAGAGTTAACCTAGCAAGAGCAGTTTACTGTCAAGCTGATGTATATCTTCTTGATGACCCATTAAGTGCTGTTGATCCTGCTGTTAGCAAGCATCTTTTTGACAAGTAGAGATTGATCATCATAATCAAATACAATTTTATTTGCTTCATTGTTAGGTGCATTTGTGGTTTACTGTCTGATAAATGTGTGATACTAGTGACTCACCAGATACAGTATCTTAAGCAGTGTGATGCTGTGCTTGCTTTAAAAGAAGTACAGGTGTACTGAATTTTACTTATTTGTGTTGTTTCTAGGGAAAGGCAGTGATGTATGACACTCCGACATGTTTTATCAGGAAATCCAATGATAGTAAACTTTTATGTCATGTACAGTCTACAAATGAAGCCACATCAAGCAAGACACAAGGAAGTAATTGTTTTGCTATTGTAATTGGAAGATTGAGTCACTATAGGACAATTCAATGAACCGGACACCATATCATTGTCTGACAAACCACAAGATCAGTCGTGCAGTAAAGTATGTCATGACAAAAATGTAATTAGTGATACTACATTTATTTGAATGAAATGATATAACAGAGCGGTATAGTTCAGAAGCCAGCATTATCTGAAGAGGAAAGAGCGCATGGCAGTCTGTCTATGAAAACTTACATACATTACTTCATAGCTGGAGGAGGATACATTTTCACCCCAATTGTAGTTGCTATCTTTATATTGACAGAGGTGCAATTGTCATGTGTGTACCATATATGCCATATATTTTGTGGGTATAAAATTTCACGATTTGACTGCATTAATTTTTTGAGAATGAAAATTTCAGAGTTTTAATGTAGTTATCATGCCTACTATAATCAGCATGCTATTTTGCTGATTTCAATTTTTCAAATTTTTCCAAAATGCAAAAAATTGAAATTTAACCTCACAAAATATATGGTGCTTATGGTATCATGCAAGAATATTATTTAATAGGTAAATGTAGTTTCTGCTGATTGGTGGATAGCTGACTGGTACATACACTATATATCTAATCAAATGAATTATTTTTTTGATTTCTTTAGGGCTGACTGCAACTTAGAAAATCTTAATCAATCAACTTGTCTTCTTGATGATAATCAACGAATTGGCATATCAGGGGGTTTTGTCGTGTCACTGATAATAATTGGAGCTCTTCGTGTCATATTGTATTTTATTTTGCTGCTAAATGCAGCTAAGGTTGTACACAACAATATGTTTGCCAAAGTTTTGAAAGCTCCCATACTGTTCTTTGATACAAACCCAATAGGTTAGCAGAATTTTTGTCATTATAGCTATATGTGTCCATGAATAGGTCGTGTGTTAAATTGCTTCTCCAAAGACATAAGTTTTCTAGATGATCGATTACTCTATACCTCTATTGACTATCTTGATGTTAGTTAACTTATTTTATGTACTGCCAAATAGAGTTATGATCATTTTAAAGGTTCTTGTCCGGTTTTTGGCCATAATGATTACAGCTTCAGTTGCTAATCCATATGTATTAATAGCTGTTGTTGTATTATTTGTTTCTTCTTTGGCTCTCCGGTGGTACTATCTAAAAACTGCAAGAGATATTAAAAGATTGGAGGCACTAGGTTTGTGATACAATACATTACCTGCACGATATTAACTCTTTCTTTTTTAATTATAGCTCTTAGTCCTATGTACTCTCATTTGTCTCTCACAATAAGAGGATTGTCAACAATTAGATCATATTCAATGGAAGATGAAGCAATGAATCAGTTTCATGAATTTCAAAATCAGCACACTCAAGCAGCTTATCTTTACATTGTCACTTCAAGGTTAGCTATGCATTAATTATGAATTTTTACTTTTTATTATAACTGTACAGATGGTTTGGTATGAGAATTGATACTATTACTACCATATTCATAGCAACTGTTGGTTTTGCTTCTATACCATTATCATCAAGTACGTAATAATCAGTACTGTATAATGGTATGTAAATTCTTTCTTAGCTCTTAATGCCAATTTAGTTGGTTTAGCATTAACATATGCAATTTCATTAAGTGGAAGCTTTCAGTATTGTGTGAGGCAAAGTACTGAATTTGAAAGCTTGGTTTGTGGAATATATTTAGTGTGTCTATTGATAATAATTATACTTTCAGATGATTTC